TGGCTCTCTGGAACCAGCGTCGTAGTAGGCGCGAGCCGAGCGCTGCGGGTGGGGGAGGAGGAGGGCGACGGGTTGAAGGCGAGGTGAAGCGCCTTCCCTCCTCCCCGCAGTGGGCCGCTCTCGCTTGTCTTCCTCTCCCCGCCTCCCCCTCCACCTACTTTTGACAAGGGCACGCCATTGCAACCCTTTCTTCCCGGAAAGCTCACATTCTGGGCTCAGGTTCCTCCCTCTCCGCCAGCCTTTTCAGTCGAGTATTAACCCGGACAAGGCAATAAATCCGAGCGTGCCCACTCTCCTTTTACTGCAAGATTGTAGAATCAGCCCTCCTCGTCCAGGCAGCCTGAGTTGGGGGGGGAGGGAGGTGACAGCAAGGAATGTTGCTTGCGCTCTTGAAACCGCGCAGACGCATTTCGTGGCCCCTTGCCAAGCCTTTGGGGGAGAGGGGGCGTCACGTGACTGTCTAGGCGGCTACCCAGCCCAGTGGCGATAATTCCATCAGTGTTCACAGGCCACGCCATTCGAGCTGCCTCTCGCGGGGTTTTTACCTCTGCAAAAGTCTCCAGAGGTGCCACAAGCAACTGGGGTGGGGCATGAAGTCCTTTTGGACAAAAGCAAGGGACGCTCCCTTTAAGGGTCGGAACGGCCCACGCAACCTCAGCCGCTTCAGGCAATGGGAAAGGAACGGGTTGGGGAGGTCACAGCTGTTGATAATTGCTGGGGGGAGGAAGTGAGTGTGTGAGAACCTATAATTAAAGAAGGCCCACCCAGATCACGAAAGAAGCCGTTTTTCCAGGAAAACGGTTTGTCTTCCAAAATGGAGGAGAGAAGCGAGCTTGCTTGGAGGAAGAGGCATTAAAAGCCTACGCGGGGGAGGGAGGAAAAACACCGCGTGGTTTGACAGCCTTTTATAGGGAAAGTGCTCTGATGCGCCGCCAGCTTCTTCGAAAAAGGTCGCGTTGGGTATGCAAATCAGCAGCAAGAATGCAGCATCGCCTACTCATCCAAGCCTCGATCAGTGACATGCGCACTGCTCCTTGGCTGTTACAACCAGCGTTGGAAAGACCCGAGTTGTGCAAGAGCGGGCTCCACCTCCTCCTCGGGGAAACCAGTTTCTCCTGCCTCTTCATGTGCCCCGGAGAGTTCTCTCTTCCCTCCCTCTTCCCCCCCCTTCCCCGTCGGCAGTTTTGTTCCTAACCTTCTTCCTCGCTTCCAGAATTCAAGAATTTCTGATACCGAGCGTGCCTGTCACTCTCAACGGGGGCGCGACAGAGACCTGGCTTTGAGGTTTTAGAAACTCCAATTTAACTCTCCTCGTCACATTTGTGAGTCACACTCAGGAAGGCAAGTGACGTTTTGTAATCAGGTTAGCCTTCAAGCAGGCCGCCTGGCTACAAAAACTCGCACAATCTTTTGAAAAGGCACGCAACCGGAAATGTTTTTGCCGGGAACTATTTTTGCAGACCGCGGGCCGTGGCAGATGCACACACACACACAGCCCTGCAGAGTTTTCATTAACAATTTCCAACCTAGGGGTCGAAATTCACCCTCAGTCACCGTGCAATGTTTTCGGATAGCCTCAATCCCAACATCTCCAACCCGCTTACTGTACTGTAACTCTCTCCCCTCCCTTCGCTTCAATATCTGTGCTACCGGCTCGATGTCGATCTCTGATAAACATCCCGGTGTAAGCAGTGGCCTTCTGCTCTTGTAACGTAATTGATATAAGGAGATAGGGAGCTCTGATAGAAACTGCATGCTGTAAATGGAGAATAACGGCTGCCAGCCAAGTTGGGGGAGGGGAGCTGCGCTGGCTTTTCAAGGCTCGCTTTGTCAGAGTCAGCACAACAGTGACACTCCAGTCCTCTAATGCAAATCTACAGGATGTGTCGCTTTGGCGCGGAGAGAAGAGGGTGGCTGATGATGCACAAGGCGAGCAGCCCCGCTATGAATGGAGAAGAGGGAGGTGCGTCCCAACAGGAAGAAAATGGCTTTAAAACGGGACGGTTGCTAACCAGCAACCGCACGCGCGCGCATACACGGGAGAGCCGTGCCTCTACAAAAACAAAGCCCTTTAAAAGGAAACGGGGCGGGGGGAGCGTGTTGAGGGAGAAGAGCCATCAAGAAGAGCAACGGCTGTGGTATTCTAGCAGGCAGAGGCTGACATTTCGAAATAAGGACACAGCTAATTGCGGGCATTTCGGGTGCCTAGTATTTTCACCTATGATGACACTGCTTTGCTTCTCCTTTTTTTAGAGCCAGGATATCTAAGGCCGTTAAAAAAAAAGTCCATCCCTCTGTACTGCAGATCTGCGTTTTTCACTGACTCCTCAGCTTACAAATTGTAATAAAATTGTAGCATCCTTCTCCTGGGCATGTCTGAGTTCTTTAGGACATAGCTGGGCAGGCTCTTGGGAACAAATACATTTAAAAATAGTTAGGCAGAGGAGGAAACAGCCTTAAACTTCAGGAAAAATAATAGCACCATGGAATTCCCAGTAACTGACAGCCCCTCCCCACCCCAAGATTAGGGTTTGTCAGTTGTGAGATATATTTTTAAAAGGCTCTGCAGTCGGATCAAAGAAAGCTGGCTCATATGCCCAGAGTAGCTGCTTAATGGGTCAGAGTAAAAGGAAAGGTCACATGGTTACAGAAAACCTCCATACAACAAATGCCCTCCAGCTATGGTTAACTTTAATTAACTACAGTATTACAATTCATTGCAAGCTTGTTTTTCCACACATGCTCAGTGTCTCTTAACAGTCTCCCTGTCAACAGAAATAAATGGGGGGATTACCTTGAAAAACAGATGAGAAGGGAGGGGGATGAGGAAAACTCTGCAAATTAAGCAAAGATCTCTGGGGACTTTTTCGTTACAATTCCTTTTAATTACAAAAATTCACTAGGAGAAAAAACTTGGTATGTTTTTGACAACATGACCAGTTAATTTTTTCCCTCTCATCTTTATACATCTAACACTGGAATATATTTAAGGACACACTGTGCCCATTGGCTACTGAATCAGATTTTTGAGTCATAAATTCCTGGGTGCTGATTAAAATAAATGTTTAAAACCCTTTTTATCTGTTTAAACAACTTGAGAGCCTCATTTTATACATTTCTCCCAAATGTCAAAGGCATCTGTGAGTTGTGAGACTGATGTAGCATTACTATCCTTTGCAGGTGAAAAATATAGATAGAAGGTAATCATCTTTTAAAATAGCAGAATGGTGTACAAGGGTGCATCTTCAAAAGGAGAAACACCACAAAGATGCTCAGGGCTGTAGCTCTGAAAATCCCTGTACAACATTAAAGCTCTAACCCCTAGGCTTCTACTATTTCATTTATCCTGACTGACAGGAACAAAAACCAAAACTGTAGAACCAGCAGTAACCAAATACAAGCCCAAAGGCCAAAGAGGACTGTTTTAAAACTCCTCTTTGCAGCTGTTTTTTAAATATAAATGCTACTGGCTGACAGTAACCTATATCACAATGAACTGGGGCTTCATTCATGCTGCAGAAATATTGTTGATGTTTCTAGGGGAGGGGGGTTGTCTACCTTTCCTCCCATTTGTCTCCCTGAAAAAGACAAACGTTCGTGCTAGGGGTTGTTTGCATTTTCCAGCCAGTCAGAGGGGCCTGTGTGTTTATTCTGCCTGTTGATCACTCAACAGGCATTTGACCACCCCCAGGGATCTCAAAAATGCTAGCTTGTCACTTGCAGAAAAGTAGTCAAAAGAATAATGGTGTCCACCTAGAGGAATGCTCTTTAATTTATTGCCATTAATAACTTCTCTTTTTCCAATGGGGGAAAAGGGGGATGGCTCAAAAGTGGACATTATTGTACTTCTAAACCAAAGAAAATGTCTTTTCAAGGTCATATATACACTAAATGCAGGGCTTCACCAATCCTTTCTTTGCTGAGATCAGTGAAATAGTTGTGACTGGTATCTCTGCCAAGATTGACTCCCCCCCCCCTCCTTTGGGCTGCTTGGTAGGAATCCAACTTTACTTGGAAGTAAGGCCTACTGATCTCAATGGCACTTTCTCCCAAGTAAGGATGCATTACAGCCTAGTAGCCAAAATCTATGGCTGAGCTCAGTGGAACTTTCATCCAAAGAACAATACACATTTGTAACCTTCATCCAGACTCACCCTTGACCTTCTGTTTGTTTGTGTTGCATGAAAAAGGCCCGAAGCTTTCTTTATTTCAATTATACAGTCCTCACACAAAAGATGCCTCTTGCATAACAGAAAACCCACAGCCATAAGAGGAAATGGAGGACAAGAACAGTGAATAGAAAATGCTTAGTCAGCAACTGTTCCTGAAATATATTAAGAGGTGAAATGTAAATGGGCACAGTGCCAATGTGTAGATAAGACAATATCATAAGACATATTCCTCAATATGTGTGTACAAGTGGTACAGTTAGGAGAAGATTTAGACTTCTGGTAGAATGGAGGGACATTCCCAAGGTATTTTGACTTCTGCTGTCAAAGTGCTGGGTAAATAAATAAAAATAAAAATCCCTTACCCATGAACTATTAATATCAATTGAATTTATTACAATTTACTAAGCTCCAAGGCACATTACAGTGTTCTGTTAACTACAGAAATGTATAAAGGACAAACAGAGCATGTTTTCCATGTACAGCAAATTTTGCTCTAGTGTTCAAAAGCTTCCGTGCATCAATAAAGCAAAAAAAAAGAGAGTAAAACGTTCAGAGATCAATAGAAACAAACTGAAACATTTTCTTTACAAAGTTGGAACAAAACACCCCCATACCACCCCACCATTTTGCAAACAAACAAAAAAGAAAATTAAAAGAAAACAAGAAAAGGAGGGGAATAAAGGAAAAAAGTGAACGACTAACACCTCTGGGCTTGTAAAACATAAGCTTGTCACCATTTTGTAGCATTTTTTTTTCTTTTAGGCGTCAACACTGGCCTTGGCAAAAAGAAAGTTTTTTATTTTTTTTTTCATTTTTCTTCTTTTAGAGAAGTGCATACATTTACAAAAATACACACCAGCAGCAAGGAATAGCTAACGGCTATTAAACTGTGTACCTAGCCAACACACTGCCAAAGAAATGAGAAACAGGTATTATGTGGTAACCAAACAAATATTATATTCTGTTTTTAACAAAACAAAAACGGGGAGGGGGGGTAAAGAACAGCTCTATCCTTCAAATGAAGAAGGGTACATACCTTTGTTTCAAAATATAGAAACATACGACGAAAATAAGGTCTATACATAAGACTAAACTTTTTGCAGTACTGTTTCTCGTGGGGCGGGGGGTTGTTTTCAATATTCACAATTCTACATCTTCAGAAGGCTGAAGGGAGTTGAGTTTGCTGCCTGTGTGTGTCGCTGGGCTGTGTTTTGTTTTCTCAAGGGTCTCTCTCCTTTTTCACTTTCACATCGCCAGCTAAAATGGTCGCAATCTCGCCCTGCATAAATGCCCAAGGCACGTTGGAACCGACTAAGGGGCATTTCTCGCCGCTGGGGCAATAGACTTCGCCCGTCGCCCCCTGGGCCTTGATGCTCTCCCGGGAACAGGGGAAGCAGAACTTGTGGCTGGGCACCGAGGGGCACTGCACAAAGTGGGTGTCCTCCAAGCGTTCGTGGCAAATGGTGCAGCACAGGGGTCCGCTGTTGGCCATGGGAGAGTCCGGAATGTTGGGGGGGTGCACTTGGTCCATGCCGGGG